AGCTGTTTTGCATGAGCGCTGCGATTTGGCTCTGAATCCCTCCCTTGAGCAAAGCGGCCCGTAGCAAGAGAAAGGTGAGCAGCTGACAACTGCTCTCACTGTACAAGGACCTAGCAGGTTCTTCACATACATTATATACATTACGTGATTTGTAAACTTTGCATGCTTCCAAACGCCAGGTACATTGCATACATCACAGGCAATACACACCTTGAATATTTTTCAGACCTTATATACATTACACGATATACATGCAGTACATAGGTTACATGCATTACATACATACACAAACACAAACATACACTACACGCATGCCTACATGACTACATATATGCATGCACTGGCGTGCATACATACTTGCATGCATACATGCATGCATGCATTCATGCATGCGTACATACATAAGTGCCACTATGCACGTACAGAGCTATTATGCATGTACACAAACGTGCAGATATGCATATATACATATTCGTATGCATACGTATGCATATATGTGTACAGTTATGTTATATCGTGATGTATTCTACTATACTACGCTACATGATGTTCCGCGACCCTTCCTCTGCAATATTATGACGTATGAGAATTATTATGTGACAGAGTATCATACCATACCCTCCCGTGCTAATATCTATTGTACTAGTTTAGATGATACTATACCTTATTTTGCTATGCCATGTGAGACTGTGTCATATCAAAATACGACATGTTGCATTCTATTTGATTCTGTACTACACTAAGTTCATACTACATTCAAGTATGTGTTGCATCATAGTTCATTTCATCTTGTATACACTGCGCTATTGCAAAACATCTTGAATTGCGACATGTTGTATCATGCCATAATACATGACACGATGTTGTGTTGTGTTCTACTATGTTATGCTATCTCATATTCGAACGTTTTTATGAAGTTATCTTAGATGACACTGTGTCATGTTCTGATATTATGTTGCATTGCATTGTACTGTGCTGTTTGTAGTACCCGTTATAGTTCGCTATCTTCCATTATATTAGTTCCTTTACATGACATCACGGTACACTCTATTCCATTACCTTGCATTCATTCTCGAGGCTCAGCAATCGTGTCGGGTTAAGCGGTACGCTGGCCCACAGAAACCGATTCGAGGCCAAGTTGCGAAGCGCACTCAGCAACTCACAAGGAATCAACAAACGACAACTTCAACACATGCACTGGACATGAAAAGAGCATCTCGTTGTCAAGTAGCTCTTGGGACAGGCGCTATGCCATGCTTCATGACATGCTCTAGCAAGGCCTTTCGATCTTTGTGGCAACTCCTTGGGCTGGAGTACCACAATAATTCGCCTCCTTCACCACCCTGGCAAGCGAGTGTTCGTGGACTCTTCGTGGGTTGACGTAGCATCAAAAACAGGTAAGACAACCCTTTCTATCCGGTCGGTGTGTAACAGCTCTGTGGACATCACATGTGTTTGGCATGGGATGTAGCTAAACAATGAACAAGGTTATGCTTTTGGCGGATGCCTGTTTCCAACAAGCATGGTGCCTTCGTTGTGACAAGCGGAATCCACCGCGGCAGGTCTTTGTGCAATCAGTCCAGCCTCGTGATTCACAGAGAAAAGCGAAACATGTACAAGAGCAGCGCATGCACGCGTCTGATTGGGCGGACCTTCCCATGCACCCCACTTGCCGTCTGAACAGTTGTCGTTGACTTCACATGCACCCGCACCGCATGCTTTGACCTTGCGTCACGTCCAATGGGGCCTCTGTGTCTTAGGAAATCTTCGCAGAGACAGCAAGGCCTAGCCTCCTCCAGCTGGTCTTCGTTAAGATCACAAGGCTTTCCTCCCATAGAAGCGTGCTGCGTGATCTTTCGATGGCGCCTGGGACCAGGGCGGCTGCGTAGAGCAAAGTCGCAGGAATTGGCGAGATCTAAGAAGGTGACTCGGTGATTCCCCCACTGCATGTCTTCGTACAAGACTTCCAGTCTGACCTCATGCAGAAACATTCCAGCTGTCCTTGCAACCGGTGTCGAAGGATTTAAGGCTCCGACCAGTCGTCAATCATGCAATCCTGAACCCCGCAGTCCTGTGCCAGGTCTGCCACACCCATTGCCACCCCTCCACGCCCCGACAGAATCGAGAACTCAGACTCGTTCAGCACTGGCCTGTCTAGAGCCTGTGGTGCATGACTTGGTCTCGGCCAGCGTCAACGAGCAAGGTTCTCCACCCAGGTCTGCCTTCGGTCACCAGGCTTCTGCAGGTGGCGAGAATACTCGAAGCTTTCTACCAGCGACGTGCGGTACTACACTTGTACATGTTCCCTCGAAGGCTGGTCAAGTTAAAACATAGGCCAGATCTTTTCATCCAGGGGCTCCGAAGCCCTTCCTGAGTGGTGGCCAGGATAAAAACATTCATGCTTATACAAGCGGATGCATGCCCATGCCACCATCGTCACCAGGACTAAGATAAGAAAAGGGATCATGAACAAAAACTGTCATTGTGATAGTGACCGACGATGTCCGCCAACTTTCGCACAAGCTTAGACCAGTCGGAATCATTTCGCGTAGATAAAACAAGGCGGTTTGGTGGTGTCGTTGAGATGGGGCTTGGTTCGGCAACAATCCGTCCCCTGCGACAAATGCCACAAACGTGACTAAGAGCGAGGAATACAAGACAACCGAAAGCTGAACGAGCTGGGCCAGAACTGCCGACGTGCGAGGCAAACTTGCTTAAGCCGTCCCCCAACACCTGGCCTTCGTCTTCAACTCTAGCCCCTAAGCACTAAACTTTCCACGGCACGGGCATGTCATGCGATACTCTTCCACCGAAACACTGCGTGGGAACACGAGGCGATGCTGGAAAAAGAGCAGTGGCAAAAGAGGCAGAAGAAGAAGAAGAGCAACAGCAGCGGCCGCGGCAGTCACATTTAAGATCTGAAGCTGCCGCGCCTCCGCAAAGGTGCGGCTGCGGGAAGAGCTGCCGGGGCCACAAGTCGTAGTGCAAGCTCCCCATTCGGTCCTGTGATAGCATTCGTCTACGTCCAACACGAAGTGCGGAAAGTTCTGAGCGGCAGCACCACTGCGAAGGTCGACAGGGCTGGTGGTAAAGACTGCAAGACAAGGTGTTGCACGACGCAGTCTCCTGCAATCGTTGCGAGTGGCTCAGCATGGTGCAGCTTGAGGAATGTGACATGCTCCAGAGAGATCCTTTAAGCCGCCGCTGCAAGGAGTACCACCGGACGCAGCCGGAGTTCCGATTGCGCGGGTCCTCACGGGCAGCAGACCAGCACAAGACTGGTGGCCATTAGGTGTCATTTGGGGCACGGAAACGCGGGGCCTGACAGTCTGACCTCCGTCACAGGACTTGTCACAGAGCTGCCAGTCCGACCTGCGCTCCAAACACATAACTCTAAACGCCGCTCTCGAAGGCGAGGATAGGGCCAGTCCGCAAAGGCGCAGTCGGTGGCGGGTGTTTCTGACGAGGACGCTGGGTCACACCTCAAAAACTGCAGGGCGAAGCCAGGCTCTCTTCTAATCAAGTTCTCGAGCACCAGACGGCAACACCTCAACAACTGGCCCAGAGCATGCCTGGCACCAAGCGAAGCGTCCATCTGAAACTAACCATGCCGACAACTTCCAGGGACTCTACGACCGTCGAAATTGACCGCTTCTCCGATGCCTCGCCCGAATCTGTGGCTTCTTGGATCTGACCTCAGTGAAGCGGGTGCAGCTCTTCATGCCATGTTGGCAGGAATCAACGGAGCAGAGACTAGACTTTCTCCGTGAAGGACGTGCACTTCAATGCAAAACTGCAGTTTGCATGTAACTGGTGTCTTTCTCGTGTTCCATCTGAACTTAAATTACATCGTTGATGCTTCGTCTGGACAGGAAGGAAGTCTCCGGCTCTGACGTCCCTGCAGTTTTCGTAAGGGTGCTAGGTTGCTAAATGCAGGGTCTTGCTCTTGCCACAGGGTTTGTCGGTTGTCCTCTGTCCGTGACGTGGGTCTGTTGGCCAGCTCTCCTTTCGGCAGTTAAGGATTTCCAAAGAGCACTGCGTGTAGAGGCTGCGGTCTTGGTTTGCCAGTATGGGCCTGCTCAGGAAATGCAGGCTTTCTGTTGACTTGTTGACAGTCATGATTTCAGAGTTGAATCAGGCTTCCGGAACTTAACGAAGGTTATTGTAAGTAGTTCACGCTAACATGTTTAAGCCTGCTTGGGTGCCTCTGCCATGACCCAATCTCAGACCAAGAGCATGCGGCATGCCGACAATCGCATGATTTGGCTTCTGTCGCGTGCCCAAAATACCCGTTTGAGATTGTCCAGTCGACAATTACCAGCCTCTTGCTAGGATGCGATAGCAGCAACCTTTGCAGGATTGACTTCGCCATACTACATGCCCCCCTGACATCGCTAGATTACTTGCCAGGCTTCTTCGTCACCAAGCTGTTGCAGATGAATAGTGGGAGTCGCTTCCGACAAGAGTGCAGAAGCCACCGCGGTTGCTCACAGTGGCGTGCTTTGCCTTGGGCCTCGGGATGGTTTGAGTCCTCGGGCCTCGGGGATACCGAGTTCGACACGTGTCCGGCGCCGTTCGCGGTCATCGGTGCCGTTGCAAACACTCCAGTCAGTCCTGGCTAGACGGGAATACATGCAAGAAGAGATGATAAACAACAAACATCAGGACTGATCGGAGCTTGCTTGGGCTGCTGCCAGTCTTGCAACACACAGTCACCAGGCACTTCGGTGTTTGAGCAGGGACCTCATCCATCACGAATCAGACAAACAAAAAGAATGGGCTGCAAGGTTGTTGCGATGCTTGGTACACATCTGTTCCCGCATTGCCGGGGTCAGAGCACGCAGATGTCTCGCTAAGTGTATCTTCACAGTGCCTGCATGCAAGAACACAACGTCACCTTCCGCTCTGTTCGTAACAGCGCGAAATGGCCTTCCACCCTGCTTGGCCTTGGCTTGGCTCTCTGTGCGAAAGCCCAAACGAGAGCAAGCGCAGGCAAGCGCAGGCAAGCGGCATGATGAAGAATTGTTCGGAGGCGTCCTCGTTGCTTGTCTTCGCACCTCAGAGGCATCTCCTGTTCCGGAGCTGGGAACTCAGGAAAGCCGTGGTTTCAGCACGAGTTGGCGGGACTGACTCCATATCATGATTTCCGAAATAAGACATTCAGACATACCAGTCATGTCCAGCGAAGTTTACCAAGACAACTTGCGCCAAGCACAAGGGCTGAAGCCACGGATGTTCCTCTATAAGAAATCTTCATTCGTCCGACGATGGTTCGCCAGGACTCACTCCAAGCTTTAAGCAGGATCTCGAATGGTCACGTCCACAGCTCCACTGTCTCAGCTTGGCACGACTTACATGGGCTCCAGTCCATCCACCTGCAGGTAGCATGCCGAGATAGTCAGAAGACATGCAAGCATATGCTAGGGCACTGACGTGGAAAGCACGCAGTCGCCGCTCTCGGTATCGGCGGAGCCGCAATCCTGCAAAGCAGCAGAAGCCACATAGCACAAGCTGCAGCGAGACCATGTGCGAAGATGCTTGAACAAGCAACGCCGATGCCTCTGTCTCTAGAAGGGCACCAAGACACTCGGCGCCACCTCGTGCCTGGGTCAGGACTGAGAAATACATCATTCATTCGAAACGATGCCTGTGCAAGCTGCCAAACTGAGCCGCGGATGACATCGAGGCGCACCACAGTGCAATAACAGAGATCTGCGGAACCACTGAACAGGCACCGCGCGGGAAGAACAACCACGCTTCGGTTTCGCTCCCTGTGACAGGGCTCAGTGCCAGCTGTCAGGTCGCACAACTACGACGTGGTGCAGCAGCTGTGCTGCAAAGGGAAATGGCAGCCTCTGATTCGTGACGTTGAGGCTGCAAGCACTCCATTCTCCCCAGGCGCTGAGCTCACAGTCCTGTGCCACTGGGATCCACAAACAAGCAAGGCTTCTCCAGGCACTCCCGCCTCTGGAGTCTGCGGGCAGGAGTCGAGGCAGTATTGGGAGTCTTGAAGCGGACCCCTGCGAGAGACAACGCTTGGCTCTTGGAACAAACCATGTGCTGTCCTGAGATTCGCAACTTTTCACTGTGAGCCGCACTCGCAAGCAGCTCCGCCACAGCTGTTGTGTTGTAGAATACTTCGTTTCCTGCATTTAGCGCGGTCTCTCTGCTGCTCTCCGACTGCTGAAAGCTTTCGTGTGGCATTGGTCCTGGTACACAATCCAGTGCATGCAGTGGGGGCTTCCCAGTCAGACCAGTCTGAGAACCTGGCAAGCCACCGCTCTGATTGGTATTCTGTGAGATCTTGCTGGCAAGAACATCAAGAACAGGTCGAGCACACTTGCATTCCTTTGGTTCCTCCCCGTCAGGGCAGAAGCTGTTGGCAGAGGAGCAGTCTGCCTCACGAACACACCGCCCTGGTTGGGAATGATGCCATGCTGCATTTTCTGCACCCACGGCTTTGCTCTTTTTTCACAGCTGTCCAAGTCACTGTGCTTGTTCACATGGATGTTGTAACAACCCGCAATGATTCTCACATCAAACATCCGACCAAGTTGTCCCGATGAAAATCCTGCTCTCCACCAAAAACCGACAGATTACCGACTGAGGACGACACCTGATATGGGCAGGCGTGATGCTGAACTTGTTCTCCAGCACAAACCTGTGAGTCAGTACATGTCGAGCATGCAGACAGTCATGGGCGCATGTCGACACGTCTGTGCACCTGGGCAATCTCAAGAAGAGGACTCTTTTTTTGGTGCCGTGCGCGAACGGCTCATCGGGTGAAAGTCTGCTGGGCAAGGCGATCAACGGTCACGTGCGCCAGGAAGCCGGGAATAGAGCTGTAGACCTCAAGGTATGCCATTGCCTGACGGTCACCCTGCAACTGCTCTGCCCAAACAGTTCCCAACAAGTCGAACTCAGCGGGATGTCCAGTGCTTGCAGGTCGGAGCTGGAAAACCAGCTCCTGGCCTTCATGATACCTCGAAGTTAGGTGCCATCGCATTGAACTTCCATCGCCCTTCATCTCCACCTTCCAGCCTAAGAGGTGATAAATGCCCTCTCTGAATTCCTGCACATACTTGCGCATGGCTTTCTTGAAGCGGTCCAACTGTCTTGATGCCTGCTGCTGCTCCAAGTCACCACTGGCGCCACTCGCGTGGGCATCAACCTGTTGCACTGGACCTCTTGTAAGATGCAAGACTTTCGTTGTTCGTGGGTCAAAATCTGCTTCCTCAGCATTGGCGCTCTCCAATCTTTCGACCCGACTCTCAAGCTCCTTGTTGGCTTCCCAGAGTTCGGCATTTACTCGCTCCAGCTTTCTAGCCTTGCCTTCCACATCCATCAGTTGACTCAGCTGGCTGCGCAGGGACTCAGCCTCTGTTGTGATGGCATCGATGGCCTGCTGCTTTGCTGCCACCTGCCTCTGTAGCTCCAGGGATTCCTCCGTCCTTTCTCGATCGACTTCCGGAGTCTTACCAGCCGATCCCTCGCGAAGAGAGTAGATTTCAGACTGCGAGTCCTGGAGCTGCTTCTTCAGTTCCTCGCAACGTGCCGCTTCCACCCTGAGCTTGCTGAGCTCAACTTGCATGCTTTTCTGCTTCTCTGCAGTGGCATCCAGCTCGCGCTGAGCTTGCATGCGCTTCTGGCTTTCAGTAGCCAGGCGCGACTGCAGGAAAGACCAAGCAAGTCGCAGGTTCGCCGCGGCTGTCTTTCCGGCCGTTGGCAGGAAGCTTCCACCGATTCGACACTCGTTGGCAGCTTCAAGTATCTCCGAGACGACCTCCTCCAAAGCGACGAGGTCCTGCTTCGCGAGGGAATTGGCGGCGCCGGACTGTCGGAGCTCTTGGATTGAAGAGTCCCGTGCTCCCAAAGCAGACGTCAGAGATGTCTGGCTCTGCTCCAAGGTTCTGATCCGCTCCCTGGCTGCCAGCAGATCTTTTCGTGCAGTTTGCAGCTGCCGAAGCTCGCCGTCAAGCTCAAGATGCTTTGCTTGTAGTTGGCCAGCAAGTTCTTTCTCTGGCCACCATTCCTTCAGAAGCATCCGCAACGCAAGGACCTCCTGCTCCAGCTCAGAAATCCTGGTGGCTGCAGGCTCATGGTCTTTGGCGGTGGGCTTGGTCGCTTCGGCAAGCTGCTCGAGCCTTGACTCAAGCTGAGAGATTGTGAGTTCCTGTTTTCGACATTCTTCCGCAGCTTTGGTCTGCATAGCCTGTAGATCACGCTGTGAACGCTCTTGGGCTTCTTGCAAGTCATGTGCAAGCTTGTCCCGCTCACGCTGCAGCTTCAGGATCGCATCCTCCATCTCACTTATCCGCCTCTTCTTTGCTCTGCCATCTTCTCGCAGCTCGGTACATTCCTTTTTGACATTGCTGAGCTGGCTTCTCTGAGTGCTGTTGAGACTGGACATAGTCTTCGACTTCGTCTTCACTTCTTGTCGAACCCCTTCCAAAGCTCGCTGCAGCTCCTCGTTGCTCTGCGAGAGCCTCTGGATCTCTGAGAAGTTTTGGCCTTGCGACACAACGCACGCACCAGGCACATCCACGGAAGTCCCGGCATTCACAGGCACAGGCTGTGAGCTTTGAGGGTCCAGAAAGCGATCAATGTCCTTACGCAGACCTGCGAGCTGTGAGGCCTGAGAGGTCTGAGCTTTTCGTGGGACGGTCGCAGGAAACGGCATCCTGCGTGGCAGGATCTGAGAAATCACCCCGGCATAACTGGAGCCATAGCTGCCCGTGGCACCACAATCGATCACAGGCTGAGCATCACCACAGCATCGGGTCTGACTACATGAGCAAGAAAAGCTACCCATATCCACACCTCCTCGCATTGGTTTCGCCCGTTGCAGTCCGTGGAACATCTGACAGGTGTGGCTGCCATGGCGCAACTCAAATCGCTGCTGCAGAATGCAGCACGGCCTCACCAGCCAGCTCTCTGTGTCAGATGCCACAACCTCAGAACCAAAGCCAGATGCAGCACTCAGCAAACTGACACGTCGCCCGAGCTTGCCGCTCTCTGGATCGTGACAGACACAGCGAGCACTGCTAATCTTCGAGCAGCTTTCGGCCATCGCATTGTGCGAAGCCTGGGACGGAGAGCATGTGGAGGCTGTGCATCCTGCCTGGATGCTGGGTCTCATGCTGCGGCCACGCAGCTATGTTACCTTGCAGAAAACAACTTGGCTAGAGTGATGATGTGCAGAATCTGCCATCTGTGCACACGTGCAGACCAGGCCCAAGGCCTGGACGGGCAGAGCAGGTTGGCCCTCTCCCACCCTTGTGCTCCCAGGAAGCTTGGTCAAAGCGGCGACATGGTGCGCAAGAAATGCGGGCTGTTCCAATTCAACATCGGAGGCGGCTCGAGCTCTACGGAAAGCTCGAACCAAGGATCATCAAACTGCACGCCTTCCCCACAATTCCTTCACACACTGTTTCTGCACGCACTGTGCTGGCTGTCGAAAATCATGTGGGCTGAACTTGAAAATTGGAACTGCACAAAGAGCTGCCCACGACTACACATTATCTCACGCTGTAACGCTCTCCAACTGGTCAGCTAGGAAAACGATCTGTGGCTTTGCTGGTCCGGCAGCATCACGCTGCTGGTCATAGCCCAGAGGATGCTCTTCAGCAGCACTCACAACTTCCAGCGTCTCAACGCCCAACTGCGCCTTTATCACCTGCAGACTTCGAGAACCAAACACGGGCTACTCTGTGTGTCTGCTCTGAGCTTCTCGCCTCACTCAGATCGCGCAACATGGCTGCCTTCTTGCGTCGCCAGAAGCACTGATCTAACTGTTGCTCTGACATCCGTCATCCCACCTCGTCGAAGGGCAACTCCAACTCCAGAGCCTCGGAGCCTCTCGCTTTGACCTCCTCGACATAGCATGAGAGAAAGAGCTACTCATCGGGCTGCCTTACAAAGCCCACCTGCTTCATGACGAACGAGGCAAATGGCATAACTTGCTTCATGACAGGCTTCGGCAGGTCTTTGATATTCTCTGCTGCGCGGACTTGTCCCATGAAGTTTTTGTCTACAGGCTCATTCTCTGCAGTCAGCTCGACCGTCTGCAGGACCTGTGCGATCAGGCTTGGCAGACATAATGCACTCAATGCACAACTTGCAAACGTCTGCCAATGCACTCACACGTCCGGCAAGCCTTCAGCACATCAACCTGCCAATCCTTGTAGCTTTTGGCCACGAAGACTATAGCTTTGTTTGGTGTGGGAGGGGGCCCCTGAGCTTGCTGTCCTTTCTTCTTCTTCTTTGGGCTCTTGAACTTCTCCAGCTGCAGGCGGAAGGTGCGGAGTGTGCCCTGAATTAGGGCATACTGTCGCGAAAGAAAAGGATCGTACTCCTTCTCCGGAGTGGGCCACGCTTCTTGCACGACCAGGGTCTCGTTGCCGAGAACGTTTCGCCACAGGTGTTCACAGAAATGCGGAGCAATCGGGGACAGGATGATTGTTTGGGAAACCAAAAGCCGTTGGATCACATCTGCATGCATGTCGCCATTCGTGAGAATGCTATACTGAGAGCGCAGGTTCTCCATGTCGTAGAGGGCAGATCTCAAAGCATCACTGAAAAGCATTCCCGAGTATGCCTCCTGAGCAGCCACCACACTCTTGGTGATTTCGTTGCTGAAGATGTCATCCAAAAACGTGAAGTCTCCAGTTCGCATGCTTGGCAAACTGCTGACTGCATCCTCCGCCCAGGCTTGAAGCGTGGTCAATCGAAGGATGGTCTTCCCACAGGACTCCCTGGAGAAGTTGGCATCTTGCAGGCCATCACCACTATCTGCACATGCGATGCGGGTTGCATCTGCGGAGTAGGAGCTGATCGCCTCCTCCAATGTCAGAAAATTTCCTTTGGATTTTGACATCTTCTCGGAATCGACCATGATGTGACCGTTGCAATAGAATGCCTTTGGCCAGAAACGCTCCTCTGGCCACACGGCGGCATGATTGAAGAGCGACATTGTCAAATGGTTCTGAATCAAGTCCTTGCCCGAGCATCTCAGATCAACTGGATACCAATATTGAAACTCGCGCTTCATCTTCGCAAGCACCTCGGTTGAAATACCCGAATTCTCTGGAGGAGTCTCGCTGATGCTGAAGACGTAATCGAAGACATCCTCTGTCAAATCACTGGCTTCGATCTTGTCTTCTCCTTCCAGACCTTCGAGGAGATGCGCCACTGTGTAGTAAGCCATGTAAACTGTTGAATCACTGAGGCTTTCGATCAGCCACTGCTCATCCCAAGGAAGCTTTGTCCCCAAGCCGAAGGTCCGCGAGCATGCCCAATCGCCGAGCCAGCCGACTGCATGTGTAAGAGCATTCATTGCAGGCTCACTGAACATTTCGAAATTCTCGGAGACATGCTTGCGAACTCTGCTGGTCCACTCTTCATCGCTATACTTCAAGTACCACTGATCACACAGCGCCACGACACATTCATCACCAGAACGTGCAACCACTTTAGCCTCAGGCTCAAAGTATGGTACCGCAGCTCCTTCATCGATGAGGTCTTGCTTGATCTTGGCCTTCACGTCAATCACTTTCTGTCCTGCATACGGGCCAACCTTCATGACTCCAGAATAGAAGCCCTTTTGATAAACATCTTTCTTGGCAGCAGCCAGCTTGTCCTTGTCTCTGTGGGACTCAATCTTCATTGCTTCGCAAATAGCTGGTGCTGACGGCACATCTTCTTCTGCATCTGGAAATGTAAGGATGTCGACAACATCGAAAGGCTGGCACCACTCTTCTTTGACTCCATATTGCTCTCGCCAGTTGGAGCGCTTCTTCCAGTCCGTGAGACAGGCAAAATCGTCCGGTGCTTCAGCCGGGACACTGGTGACAACACCTGTCCCCTTCTGCATGGAGATGGTGAACATCGGCAATACATGAATTGTGGGGTACTGGCATAGCGGGGCATCGAGTGGAAGCCCAACCAGGTCTGCACCAGTCTTTGTCATCAGGCAAACCGGCTGCTTGTCCTCGGAACTCTCCGCCAAGTCCTGATAGCACATGTTCAATGCAGAGCGCTGGCTGCAGACGAAAATGTCTCCTCCACGCATACGAAAGAAACCATACTCACCTTCTGGCAAGACGAAGCAGTTTGTCTGCCCATACATGGTTTCGGGTCGCAACGTAGCTGCCACCAAGAAGACCTTGCCGTCTCCAAGCACCGACGTCCAATCTTCAGGCAACTCTTTGACTCTCAGTTTTATCAGAGTGTATTCTTGAGGGTTGACGCCTTCCCCTTCTGACCGGTCGTGATCTGCACACGGCTGCTGAGTTGTGATAGAGAAGATCGTCTGACGCTTACCATTTGCAAGGTATTTCTCCTTGAGTTTGAGGAATTGCCACCGAACAAAGGCGTCGAAGTAGGGGTTCAGGTCCGTCGTGATGAACGTGCGACGCCAATCTACTGCCGCCCCGAACTTCTTCATGTCCTTAACTGCCAAAGGCGGAAAGAACTCCAGCCAGTACTTCGGATCCGTAAACTTGGGGATGTCCTCAGCCGCGATCCCAAGTGCAAGCATGATGTCATACTGATCCAAGCCACCTGCTTTCGCCACAGCTTTTGACTTCTTGCCCTTGAAAACGCCCGGTGCTTCTTCGCCAGAACTGTCAACTTCTGCAGATTTTGCTTGCAAGGCAGGCTCCTGTTCTCCGTTGTTTCCTGCTTGTCTCTGAGCAATACATTCCTTCAGTTTCAATGCGGCTGCGGCAATCGGCATGCCGGTACAATGGAAGCCGAAGGGGAAGAGGGCTCGCTTTCCTTGGAGACGCTGGAAGCGAACTGCAAACTCTGCCTTTGTGATTGAAAAAGCATGGCCGAGGTGAAGCTTTCCGTTCATGTAAGGGAAGGGAAAGGTGACGAAGTACTTTTCTGTTGAAGAGCTTGCATCTTCGGGTGCATCAATCTCGTAAGCTTTGTGTTCTTCCCAAAGTTGCTGCATATTTTCTTCAATTTGCAACAGCTGGTCTCGGCGAGTCCAATCTTGCCCAGTAGCGAAACATGCCACCGACGAGAGCCGTGAGTGAAGCAGCCACTGTTTCTGCCTTGACGTCAACCGTGATTTCTTCGACACCACTCGTCCGAGTTGCGCAAAACCTGCTACAACAAGCCATCTGTCGATGCGAGAGCGTGCTCCACCTTCTGAGCCTGCAAACAAATCTCTTCTCCTATTGAGGCCGCACGGGTTCGATGCCGAGCACGAACCGAAAGATGAGCTGGTTGCTCTCACCTGTGTCGCAGGGAAGCGGCTAATTTGAAGACCTTCCATGGCAGGGAAGTACGAACATCTACGTTACATTGAGCACAACGCTTCGGAAAAATGGCTTTGCATAGCAGCAACAAGGCGCAGGAAAAACAGCAGCAGCAGCGGCGCCGGCACAGGGATGACAACGACGGACGACGGTTTTGGAAACGTCCTAAAGACTTTGAACTTAGACTTCAACAAAAAAAACAGCAACGCCCGTTGCGAATGAGTCTCATGGAAAACCACGGCTTCTCGTTTACGCAACTTCTGCCACAGCAACCCAAAATACGAGCAGAGATAATTTTCAAACCAGCAAGCAACAAGAAACCGCCGTCCTGGCGACACTGTCAAACATCCGTCCAGATCGCAGCACCTTGCTGCATGTAAACCGAAAGTGCAACGGAAAAATGCCTTTGCAAACATAAACAACACAGAACGCGTCGACATATGGGACTGTATTGAACATACTACAAGTTCTTTATCTAGTGTAAATCAGCCCGAAAAAAACAATAATAAACCCGAAAACATCATATTTTCTGTTTCTCAATGTCATTACTGTTCGCGGCACAAAGTCTAATTAGGCAATGGCAAGTATGGCTCTATCATTGTGCTGTATGGCACTCTAGCCGAACATATCATAGGCAACAAGCATCGGCAGAACCCTTTCACTTCGCTTTGTGGATCGACCGCTCTGACGATTGGGTTCGCTAAGGCTACTAAGCTACCTCGGCCGACATGAGATAGAGTTTGTTGGCAAAGGCAAAAGTGGAAGTTGAAGCACAATCTGGCTGCTTGGGCACTGTCGGGCCGAAAACACATTGGCATTTACGTTTGTGCACTGCCACTCGCCAAGAGACGTCGAGTCCTTTAGGGAAAAATGACTGCCAGGTGCAATTCTGACAACTCTGTCCGCAACTATAGTTTCGTTACTGCTGCTGTCGGCGAAAAGTGTTGACACCGCTCTGCTCGTCAGGCTTCAGCTTCAAGTCAAACCAAGCAAGCACAAGCACTGAACTCGGACACT